CAACAGCAGAGCTACAGCAGGAAGACGGACAAAGAGCCAGCCAGCATGAATCAAAGCAATCGACTGGACAGTCCACAGCGAGGCGGTGGATTACGTGAGAAGCCACAGCGTCCATCCGACACAGCAGCGACGGCCACAGCAACCACCTGCACCGCTAACACCGGGGTCCAGGTTGCATTCATGACTGTGCCAGTCAAGCTGCAACACCAAGACCAGACATATGATGCAGTGGCACTGATCGACTCGGCATCATCGACCAGCTATATCAGGGCTGACGTTGCTGAGAGCTTGGGTGTCAGCGGGCCAGATGAGCAGCTCACCACCTCAGTCCTAGGCGGAACGACAGTAACAGGCCGCCGGCAGAGAGTCAACCTGACCATCCACAGTCATGATGGTGACTACAGCACGGCGTTCCAAGCATGGACCCAGCCCGACATCACAGCTCCGCTACCGGCCGTTGACTGGCATCAGATGAGCCAACAATTCCCCCACCTCCAGCAACTACCGCTACCACAGGTCGACTCGCGGCAGGTAGACATCCTGATTGGTATCGATGTCATTGACGTACACCGAGTGCTGGAGGAGGCCACTGGGCGCGCGGGAGAGCCCATTGCACGCCGTCTACCACTCGGCTGGGTTTGCTTTGGGCCGGTGTACATGCCGACGGATGCCACATCCGAGTGCACGCTGCACGCATCTGCAGTATGTGAGCCATTGCTCGATACACTGGTCGCTAAGTTCTGGGAGGATGACCAGGTGGGCATGCAACCACAATCTGACAAGACGATGGCTGAGATAGAAGCAGAGCACCTCGTGGCTGACAGGATGAAAATCACTGATGGTCGTGTCACGACAGGCATCCCTTGGATTCGGCCAGACCACCAGCCACAGCTGCCGCCAAACCGAGCCATGGCAGAGAAGCGGCTGATCAGCCTCGAGCGATCTCTTCTCAAGAAGCCGGACATCCAAGCAGAGTACGACAGAGTCTTCCAATCATACATCGACAAGGGATATGTGGTCCGCTGTGAGGATAGTGCCGCCAGCGACGGTGACCAATGGCTACTACCGCACTTTCCTGTCGTGCGCCACGACAAGGCGACCACGAAAGTGAGGGTTGTCTTCGATGCAGCGGCTCGTCAGCGGGGTGTGTCTCTCAATGATGAGATGTACACTGGTCCGAAACTGCAACATGACCTGATTCACGTCCTACTCAGGTTCTGCCGTGAACCGGTTGCGATCGTAGGAGACATTGCAGAGATGTTCCTGCAGGTCCAGCTACAACAGCAAGATCGGCGGTACGTACGCTTCCTGTGGTGCAAGTCGACAGACGAGCAACCATCCATTTACGAGTTTACTCGACTCGTGTTCGGACTGAAGGCATCACCGTTCATCGCCTGCCGAGCTCTGAGGGAGGTAGCCGCACAGCATGGGGAACAGTACGACTCAGCAGCCCGAGCAGCGGTCGAGGAATCGTTCTACGTTGACGATTTCCTGAACTCACAACCATCAGTACCAGCCGGCATCTCAGTACGGCAGGGGGTGCAGGACCTGCTCCACATGGGCTCGTTTCACCTGCGGAAATGGCGCAGTAACAGCCGTGACGTGCTCCGTTCTATCCCGGAGGCCGACCGAGCAGCCGACGCACTGGTGAGCATCGATGATTGCAGCGACGCCGCATCAGCTGCAGTCGTGAAGACGCTTGGTGTCGTGTGGGACGCAGCGTCTGACACGTTCAGCTATCGCTACAACACACCGGACGACCAGCGGCTGACGAAACGAAGCGTCCTATCCAAGATGGCCAGCATCTATGACCCAAGAGGGCATATTTCGCCGTTTACGATAAGGGCTCGACTGCTGTTCCAGGAGGCATGCATTCTCGGCTGTTCCTGGGATGACCGTCTCCCATCAGAGCTGGAGACCAAGTGGCAGAGGTGGTTTGCAGAACTACCAGATCTAGCTGGGATCAAAGTGCCACGATGCTTCAAAAGCATGGAGCGCCAGGCTGACACCGCGAAGCTCACAGTACATACCTTCACCGATGCCTCGGCGCACGCCACTTCAGCTGTCAGTTATGTCCGCGCGGCGTATCCGGATGGTTTTGTGAAGGTCAGCCTTGCATTCGCCAAGGCGCGGGCAACCCCAATCAAGAAAGTCACCATCCCTAAGTTGGAGTTGCGAGGTGCAGTACTTGGCCTGCGCACCAGCAAAGTTGTCAGCCAAGCCCTCGCTATTCCTGTTGCTGAACATGTGTTCTGGACCGATTCCCTCAACGTCGTGTACTGGGTGAGGAGCCATGCCAAGAACTTCACTTCAGATGTCGCCTGCCGGGTCGGTGAGATTCAAGCCGACACCAAAGCTAGCCAATGGAGACACGTACCAGGAGTCCTCAACCCAGCCGACTTCCCATCTCGAGGTATGAAAGTGCTGGACCTCGTTGGACGTCACACATGGTGGAGTGGTCCGGACTTCCTGACCAGACCGGAGACAGAGTGGCCGCTTGTGGAGCTTGCTACCCCTCCGCAACTACCTGGTGAGCTGAAGAAGAAGCCATGTATGACATTCGCCAGCCAGGTGACGCCATCTCGACTAGATCCTGCCACATATTCGACGTGGGAGCGTCTTACCAGGGTGACTGCCTGGTGCTTACGGTTCGTACAAAATGCCCGACGGCAGACTGCGACAGTCACGAGGGGGGAAACCCACGTCGACACCGCCAACACCAGTGCCCCACTAGTCTATGTCCGTTTAGCAAGCGGTCATAAGCCAAGATCAGTAGTGACAGTACCGGTGCTGACGGCAGCAGAAGTAGCAGGAGCCGAACGACATTGGTTTGCACAAGCTCAGCTGTCAGCGTACCCAGCAACGCTTAAGCGCTTACGGGCAGGTGAGGAATTACCACCATCTGACCCTCTCTACCGGCTCAACGCGGTCCTGGATGCGACGTCACACCCTGCTCTCATGGTCGTCAACGGACGACTGAAGCATGCTGTCAACCTACCTGTTGGTGTTCGCCAGCCAGTGATCCTACCACAGCGTCACCGAGTCACTACGCTACTCATCCAGCGCGAAGACGACCTCTGTTGCCATGGTGTCGGAACCCAGCACCTGCTGTCCAACCTACGACGGAGATTCTGGATTGTACATGGTACATCAGCGATCAAAAGTGTACGTGCACAATGCGTTACATGCAGCCGACTGATGAGTAAGGCTGCGGAGCAGATCATGGGACCGCTACCCAACCATCGCACGTGTGGTTCTCTCAAACCATTTACCAGATGTGGAGTAGATTACGCAGGACCGTTCTACACAAAGCAAGGGCGTGGTCGAGTGCAGCAGAAGCGGTACATGTGCGTTTTCACCTGTTTGGAGACCAGAGCATGCCACTTGGAGATGGCCTTCTCTTTGGACACAGAAGCATTCCTGATGGCATTCTCCAGATTCATCAAGCGTCGCGGCACTCCGTCCATCATGGTGTCGGACAACGGCACGAACTTTACAGCTGCCGAGCGAGAGCTCCGAGAGGCGAGCGAAGCCATTGATCGCACGCAAGTCAGCAGGAAATTCGCTCATGAAGGAATAGAGTGGCGGTTCAATCCTCCGCGGGCACCCCACTTCGGAGGAGTATTCGAAATTGTTGTGAAAGCTGCTAAGCGTGCCATCACCACAGTACTCGCTAATGCTTCGCTTACCGACGAGGAGTTGCTGACCGCACTGATTGAAGCAGAGCATCTCATCAACACTCGTCCGCTGACTACAGTCTCAGATGATGCTCAGGATGATCAGCCCCTCACTCCCCAGCATTTCCTTGTGGGACGTATGGATGCGCCTCTGGCCAAGGAAGTGACGGTGCTTGGTGAGCATCAGCATCAGCGGAAGAGATGGGCGGCAGTACAGCGATTAGTAGACGACGTGTGGCAGCGATGGAAAAGAGAGCTTCTACCATCCTTGAACCTCCGGAAGTGCTGGCGCCAGGCCAAGAAGAGCTTGAAGGTGGGTGACGTGGTGATGTGGATGAGTCCCGGCACTCCGCGCGGAGAGTTGCCATTGGGTCGCATTATGGAGACCTTCCCAGGAAAGGACAACAAGGTGCGCGTCGCGGACGTCAAGATTGGAGGCAAGATCCTGCAACGTGCCATCCATCATCTCGTTCCTTTGCCAGTTGGAAATGAGTAACAGTGATGGACATGATTATGTAGTTGTGTCACACTCGGATTGTTTTTGTTTTTTTTTAGTGTGGTTTTCTCCTCGTGTGAGAGGGGGATATGTTCCAGTAGATCCCGTAGGTTACCGTTTGCTAGGTCGATGTATTGTGTGCTGACCCGGCACATGTGAGCATGATGCTAGTACTGACTAGACACTGTTAGGACCTGTCTAGACATGCGATTGTCTGTACCGTAGCATTAATCTAGTACATGCATGGCATGCAATACCTGCCGGATCATATGACGGAACTGGTTTGCTGATTGGCTGTAGGTCTGTTCGCTTTATCAGCTGTGTTTTGTTATAGTACGAGTTTCACTTTGGGGAGAAGAGAGTTCTTTTTTGTCTCTTTGGAAAGCAGAGTTTTTTTGGTCCTGGAGAGAGGACAATAGCAGAGTTGGTATGTCCGTGCCAAGGCACGATGATGTGTGCATACTATTAGTCTAGAGATTTTCGTTCAGTTACGAAGAACAGAAATAAATACAGTCTTCTTTGGAGTCCAGATTCCGTGACCGAACATGTAGTCTATGTCAATGTCTACCTAGCCTGCACTATTCATCGCCTTAACGAAAGGTGTTATACAGTACGAGATAGCGGTAGCTATTTCGGCGATGACATAGGAAAGGTGTTTGCCCCCCCCCCCCCCACACACACACCGGAGCTCGCGCCTTTCCGCCAACTTGACTTGACACTTGACTGAGCAGAAACCGTGCTCCGGTGTGGGGAGCAAACACCTCTCCTATGAAGCAAGATGCAATACGAAAACATACGAAACAAGAAAAGCGATAACTTTCTCTTACCGTGCGAAAAGCCATTGTGGACGAGAGTGTTCCGCGGTAGCTCTTCCTCTAAACTGCTCCTTTCCAGATGATTACAGACTGAAGGATTCTTCGGATTGACATCGGCCTTTGTACAAGTCCTGGTGATTGGTTTGGCCAGTCCAACAGTTACTTTGTCGTTCCTAGACGTGGGCGCCCTTATTAGGGAATCGCCGAGATTCGTTCACGGATGTCTCCTTCAATCCTTGCGTACGGTGTGAGGGTTTGGTTCTTTTTCTGGGCGAGTTCGCATGAACTGTTGATGTGCATGCTGCTGGCCTGAGCTGAGAGAGCTAAATACTTGTATGGGCCCATTGGACTAGAATGCAGAACTCTCGACCAGTTCAAAAGGACACCCCTCTACGAGGGCGCCAGAAGGGAATCACCGGGGTCCGTTCACGGATGTCTCGCTCCATCCTGTAACTACGGGTCGACATTCTGGTTCTTGTTCTGGGCGAGTTCGCGTGAACTGCCCCACAAGGGACAGAGAAATACTTCAGTAGGTACTAGGTACATGGTCGTCCCTGTACGAGGGCGCAATAAGGGAACCACGGGGATCTGTTCACGGATGCCCAGCTCTTGCGAATGCGCGCCACGGTCTGGACCTTTTTCGGAGCGAGTTCGCGTGAACTGTCCCACACGCTTATTTGTAGAGGATATAACCCGAGTCAGAGGGTTATACCGGCTGAATATAAATCCCGACTGCGATAGCAGGAGGGATTTATATGAGGGTACGGTATAACCCGACTACGAGGGTCATATCCTACTTATGCCAGGTACCCCTACGCATTTCCAGAACAACGAACCTATTTGGAGATCTCCTACATCATGCAGTACATGAACATCTTCTGATGGTTATCAGTTGTCAGTTGAAAGAATGGTCGAGCAAGGTCAGAAGGAGATTCCTCCGTGGATGTTTGGCATAAGATTTCCTTTCAGTACCAGTGCATATTGTAGCATCTTCATGATCTTGTCTTGAGTCGTGAGCGATGCGGAAGTCGACTGAATTGCTGCGGTGCTGGAGTTTGTCGTTAAATCAAACTACCGTCACTAGTTAGATTACAGACTCTTCTGAGTAAGTGTTACTATAATTATGGTACAGTGCTGATTTTCACATGCGGCATCTTATAATCAGTTTTGCTTGCAAGTAGATGCATTTGCATGCACTGTTTTGTATCACATTTCAATCCAATCTATTGTAGCCTTTTCCAATCGGGTTGAAGTACATGTACACTGGTATTATAAACTTATTTACGAAGGAGACAGTCTGTTGATGATCTTCAACTCTTCGAAGTACAATGTACATTGCTGACCCATTCGGGATACTTCGTGGTTATTCGACGTTCTTTATCCTCAGATTCAGTATAACAGAATACTCTGTAGACGAATTCCAGGTCATTCCTCTTTTCCATTGTGTACTGTTCCTCGTCAGTGTGCCGTTCTGTGTGGAGTGTACACGTGCATGTGGTGTCCGTTGTGTCTGTTTATGTATGGTCCGTGCGCTGGAGTACTGCCGCCGTACAAGTTCACTGCCTTTCAGGCAGTGAACATGTACGGTGGCAGTGCCCTAGCGTACGTACCGTGCACCGGGATTTATATTCTATATAAATCCCGCGCGGGATTTATACTGGCCTATATAACCATGGCTAGACGAGCGCTGATTGGCTGAAAACAGGCCCTCCGTACCGTACCATGGTATAATAAATGGATAGAATCCACACCCAACTCGCCTCATTAGGAAACCGTAGCCAGGGTAGCGAAGATGGATCCTGCATGCTTTGTCTTTCTATATTTCTGACTCCATGAAGTTGCCTTCATATTTATTATTATTATTATTACTATTTTATTTATTTTACTAGAGTGTTTCCCACAGACTCCACCGATCAGAACCTATGTAGCCAAGACGAGAAAAACCAGCTTTAGTGTGGGCAAAAGGCAAGGCCAGAGAAAAAGAGATTTGGGACCTAGTGACGGCAGTAGTATGTGCTCTGGAGGAGCGGGTATGGAAAATTTCTTTTAGGAGAGAGCTACATGTGCTGCTATGGACAGAGCGAAATACAAGAATAAAAAGCTTCAAATTGACTCGGAAAGAAATGTGAGAGAGATTGTATAGGCTAAGAATATGAGAGGCGTTGGTAAAGTTATCGAAACCAAAAAAACTATTCTTAGACACCTGTTAAATAGCCGGACATACTTATCAAAAAAAAACTCCCAGCGGAGGTCCGCTCAAGTTCTTCCTTGCATACCTTCCGTAATTCTGTTCTTCATTTTTAGGGTACCCTGTCAAAAGGCCTTAGGCCTGTGGGGATTGCCCTATCAAAAATTTAATAATAACAATAATAATAATAATAAAATAGTAAGAACTGAGGGTGTGGACGTATGCGCTACTTGCATACTCCAATGACGACTGAATAACACTAAGGTAAAAGCTACGCCGTGCGTGGAATGGCAAGAGATGTCTTGACATGCGGTAGGCGCCGAGTTTCCTGTTGACAGACCCAATCAAACCGTCAATTTGTGGCCCAAAAGTAAGGTGCTCGTCAATGACAATGCCAAGATAGCGTGCGGACTGCGCTCGAAGAACATGGACGCCGCCAATGACGACACTGGCGGAACCAGGCACTGCTGTTGTCTTTCTGTGAAGGAGGAGGAACTTCGTCTTTGCTGGGTTCAGCGTCATGCGCTTCTCTTCCATGTAGACAGACAGCTTGGCCAGATCTCCGTTCAAAGCTCCGATGACTTCCTCAGCAGGGTCACCAGCTGCATACATATTCACATCATCCGCAAACTGCAGAACTGTGGAACTGTTGACGCATGAGGGAAGACCACGGACATAGAGGCTGAATAGGATAGGTCCCAAAACAGACCCCTGCGGAACACCCTGCTGCGTACATGGCACGCGTGGCAGGCCCTCTGGTGCAATGAGCTGCTGCGTTAGATCACTCAGGTAGTTCGATCACTCAGGTAGCTTTTAAACCATGCCAGAGCCGAGTCACCATTATAGACTCACCAATCCCACAATCAAATAACTCATTCAATAGCAACTGGTGATTGACGCTGTCAAACGCTTTCCTGACATCAGCGAGCACTACGCCAACAACCTTCCCATTATCCAAATCTTTCATCCAGCTATCAATTGCAACAGCCAGGGCCTCCTAGCACGAGTGATATCGTCTGTATGCAAATTGCTGGGGTGGAATAATGTCGGGATTCTCTCTCAGAAGAAAGCTTAATTGGTTGTACACGTGCTTCTCGAGGACTTTGCTAGCGATCGGTAAAAGTGAAACAGGTCGGTAGTTTCGAGGTTCAGAGCGGTCCCCGCCCTTGAAAAGTGCTCTCACGGATGCATGCTTGAAAAGCGCAGGAAACTTACTCTCCTCAATAGATGCCCTGAGAAGAGCACACAGGGAACCTGCCATCACTTCATGACATTCTTGAAAAGGATCGGAGGCAACCCGTCTGCTCCGGGAGCCTTATGTGCATTGAGATTACGAAGGATCTTTACAACGTCGGTGACCGTAGGCTGCGAGATAGCCAACATAGAAGTCTGGCGATGGGGACCAGATGGGCAGTGAAGGTGTGTCCGAATGGGGTCTGAAACTGTTTGTGCAAATGTGCGGGAGATACCAATGTGATCAGTCCCTCCTAAAGTGCCCTTGGTATGTCTGTGAAGCAGGCCATTGAGTAACTGCCATTGGCCCCTGGGCTGTTTACGGACGGACATGAATTGATGTTGATAGTACTGGGAGCGGAGACGCCTGTTCATTAAAGTTCCCTCGCGCCGAACTCGACGATATTCTTCTAAAGCTGCTGGGTCACTTGCTTTCTTACATGCTCGGCGATGGAGGTACTGTCGACGTGCCAATAGAAAACGTAGCTCTGGAGTGATCCATGGCTTAGGCGATTTCTTGTGTAGCTTTATGTTCTTGACCACATATGGATCGAGGTCATCAAGGACACCTCCAATGCTACCGTGCCATTTATCCACGAGTTCATCAACGCCAGTGCTAGCAGTGACATGCCGTCCTGTCTCAGTGAGGGCCGAACCAATCCTGTCAGACAGATCATCAAAGTCCAGGGTGGAAAGCGGTTTCTTTCTAGTCCTAACTCGGAGGTGACCTGGTCTGACAAGGTGGCATTCAAGGTCTAGACTAGCTTTCACGGCAAAGTGATCGCTAATTGGATCAGGCATTACACTGACATCAACAGCTACAAGGTCGCCTGTGATACAAATAGGGTCCAAACATGAATCGGAGCGGAATCTGGTTGGCTCTGTTACAGCGTTATGAACACAGTGGGTTGCACACATGTTTCGGAAGTGAGCGGGAGCTTGATCAGACAAGCAATTGACATTAAGGTCGCCGAGAATGCATAGTGAGCTGTGCTTCACGCTTCGTGTTACGTTGTAGTAGTAGTAGTAGTAGATTTTATTATTTTACTAGGGGAGTCCCAACAGGCGTTGCCTTTTTACTGGGAACCCTAGGTGAATTTTTACCATGTTTACATACAGAGTAAGAGACGGGGCCTGACGGCAGTCAGTGGGAAGAGCATTCCATCTGTCTGCCGCCAGGAAAGAAATAGAACGCATGCCATATTGCGTAGAAACAGGCGGAAGAACTAATGCGCGCTGTGCCTGGCCGCGCGTGCGAGCCTGGTGTCCAGGCACAGCAGCCCTAAGCTGGAACAAGGATTGGAGAAGGGGACTAGCAAGATGTGGGGTCAAGCAGCGGTACACGAAAACATAGAGTTTAAGATTTGTGCGCTGTTCAAAAGAATAGAGATGATATTTGCGGAGAACAATTTCAGTAGACATCATACGGTCAAACCCAAAAACTTTCTTCATTGCTATGTGACTGACCGTCACGATTTTATTGAACAGGGTGGCGCTGAGACAGTGCAGATAAGCGTTACTGGCATAGTCGAGAGTCGATTGCACAATGGATAAATAGAACGTCCTCTTCGCTTCAGGTGTTAGGTTTTTTCGGCCATGTCTGAAGGCGGCAATCTTGCAGAACACCGCACCGCAGACCTTCTCGACTTGCGGCTGGAAGGTGAGATGCTCGTCGATGA